CTCCACTGATAAGCCTACCTATAAAAAACAGCTCGATATACAAACCAACCCTGCGCCAGAAGTCGACGTCAAACCTCTAAAGTGACTGATTGTGAAACATTATTCTTGAATGAAACAAAATTGTGTTAATTGACATAAAAAGATTGTATTATTATATATTGTGATTAAAATATCTTACTGCAATAGAAAATTGTGACAGTTTATTTCATATTATTTTAATTTCATTAATTGAATCAATATTCAATACTTGAATATTTCTCACCTGTAAAGAATAGTCCTCCCACCACGATCGTTCTTGAATGCGTATGTGGAAGGCAAGTGAGAATGTGGGTATAAAACGATTACCAAAGGGCTTATCAGCATGACAAGTAGGGTTCAGTGTTCCAACGAATTTCCCTAATCAGCTGCCACGTGGTTATATTTACAAACAGACATAACGTTCCGGTGATGTTAAGCACACTAAATCATACAAACTCCCAGACAAGCAATCAACCACAGGCAAACTGTAGCACAAACAGGGTTGCGCAACAAAGAGAAAATGACCAGTCTTCCAATATGCGAGCAAAGCGCTACAGTTTGCCTGTGAATCATCTAATGGGCATACTAACAGCACACCATGACCCTCTCGTCTAACAACACAATACATTTTAATTCTAACATACTCACTCAGCGGTCTAGAAGCAATAAAACTACCTAAACTAACAAACGAAATACTAAAGAGCACTTAGGATTTACACACCTTCAAGGTCGAGTTAAATGGATCCCTCTCCATGTCAGGGTCAATCCGGCACTTGAACCCCCAGAAGTTAACTTGGGTACCGCCCCAAAGTCCCTCCCTAATGTGAGCACCCCTATCAAACACACCCCTTTTCAGCAACTTTTCTGTTACCGGGTTAGTCTGCACTTGTGTGATACATATTCCCGGGGAACTACCTGATCAGCTCACTTGCGGTTATATCTACAAACACACCTGACGTCCCGGTGAAGTTCACCCGGGTACAAAACGCACGGGTTTCGGCACCCACACATTACAACCCTCTAGGCAAACTAAATCATACAGATTCCAAGACACTGTATTCTAACAGACTCATTCAGCAGGCTAGAAGCAAACACACACTCGTGTATTATTTATCATTATTATTATTTATTACTAAAATCATTATTCAGGACTACTTGTTTTCTCCCCTCTTGTTATAAATGTGTCAGCTTAGTGACAGCCTACATGTTATAACAATTAACCGACGTCAAGGGCAATCAGATAAAGGAGTATGGACAACTATGTCTCCAAAACTAGGGTTTTTCGGGTTACAGTGACCCAGACAGAAGTTGTTGACTAACGAGGATACATGAGTCATACGGCAGTGAGTTCTATAAGATTGACATAATCAATATATCACTGGCCCGCTTGAAGGGTGTGTTCAACTGTAACTGAAGTTACGCTCTAGCAACGATGTACACAGGTACCTTGGCCCAAAGCAATTGATGAGATATTCGCTGTGCAATTGTACAGTGTAGTTGCTTACCATTATGGAATGAATAGGTTTCTCCTTTTTCGCAGTCCTCCATAATGAACTACTCAATAACTTTCTCAGTTACAGTGACGTCAGATGCCTGTCTGTCTGTCTGTCCCCGGTGCCTGTCTGTCAGGCGGTCTGTCTGTATGTCCGCCCGCCCGCCGTGCCTGTCTGTCTGTCCGCCGTGCCTGTCTGTCAGGCGGTCTGTCTGTATGTCCGCCCGCCGTGCCTGTCTATGTGTCCGCCGTGCCTGTCTGTCTGCCGTGCCTGTCTGTATGTCCGCCGTGCCTGTCTGTCGGTCTTTGTGACTGCGTCGTCTGTCTGCCTGCTCGCGGTGTCTGTCTGCCTGTGTGCCCGCGGTGTCTGTCTCCCTGTCCACAGTGTCTGTCTGTCTGTGTGTCCTCGATCCGTGTCTATCTGTCTGTGTGCCTAGGGCATCCCCACCGTGTCTATCTGTCCAACCGCCTGTAAGTCCACCGTGCCTGCCTGTCTGTCTGTCTGTAAATGTGTATGTCTCTGTCGGCGGGGATAAGAGAAGGGGTGAGGAAAGTCCACCCTTACGTGTTAATTGACATAAATTAATATATGCTGTGATTAAATTATCATACTGTTATCTAAAGCTGTGATAGAGTAATATAGATAATGTAAGATAAACTAGGTGGATAGGAAAATATAACAATATGTGAATATTTTCCCCCTTCTTCAGGTGAATGAGAGGGGGGAAGGGATGGGGGGCGAAAAAAAAGAAGAGAATGATATGACGTGTGTCAATCAAGCCACCTACAACAAGCATGGGTTGCTGGAAACCAATTCTATCCAGAATCATAACGGGTGTGTTTGCAACAGAAACAGCACCAGTACCAGCACAGGCAGTGGCTGCGGTAGCAGCAGCAGCAGCATCAGTAGCGGCGAATAGTCTATTTGCTTTCAAGTTGATCGACCCTCTCTAAATCTTGTGAGAAAACAAATCGATTTCGTCCCTTTGGGAGATTAAGGGGGTAGTAGACAAACAAAATTTCATGTGTTGCACCTTAAACAGGTGTGTGCCAGGTACGTAGCCAAAAAACATTTGCGTGTTGCACCATAAACAGGTGTGCGCCCGATACGTAGACAAACCAAATTTCACGTGTTGCACCTTAAACAGGTGTGCGCCCTGTAGTAGACAAACCAAATTTCATGTGTTGCACCTTAAACAGGTGTGCGCCCGGTAGTAGACATACCAAATTTCATGTGTTGCACCTTAAACAGGTGTGCGCCCGGTATGTCGATAAACCAAATTTCATATGTTGCACCTTAAACAGGTGTTCGCCCTGTACTAGACATACCAAATTTCATGTGTTGCACCTTAAACAGGTGTGCGCCCGGTACTAGACATACCAAATTTCATGTGTTGCACCTTAAACAGGTGTTCGCCCTGTACTAGACATACCAAATTTCATATGTTGCACCTTAAACAGGTGTGCGCCCGGTAGTAGACAAACCAAATTTCATATGTTGCACCTTAAACAGGTGTGCGCCCGGTACTAGACATACCAAATTTCATGTGTTGCACCTTAAACAGGTGTGCGCCCGGTATGTCGATAAACCAAATTTCATATGTTGCACCTTAAACAGATGTGCGCCCGGTAGTAGACAAACCAAATTTCATATGTTGCACTTTAAACAGGTGTGCGCCCGGTAGTAGATAAACCAAATTTCATATGTTGCACCTTAAACAGATGTGCGCCCGGTAGTAGACAAACCAAATTTCATATGTTGCACTTTAAACAGGTGTGCGCCCGGTAGTAGACAAACCAAATTTCATATGTTGCACTTTAAACAGGTGTGCGCCCGGTAGTAGATAAACCAAATTTCATGTGTTGCACTTTTAAACAGGTGTGCGCCCGGTAGTAGATAAACCAAATTTCATATGTTGCACCTTAAACAGTTGTGCGCCCGGTAGTAGATAAACCAAATTTCATATGTTGCACCTTAAACAGGTGTGCGCCCGGTAGTAGATAAACCAAATTTCATATGTTGCACCTTAAACAGGTGTGCGCCCGGTAGTAGATAAACCAAATTTCATATGTTGCACTTTAAACAGATGTGCGCCCGGTAGTAGATAAACCAAATTTCACATGTTGCACCTTAAACAGGTGTGCGCCCGGTAGTAGATAAACCAAATTTCATATGTTGCACTTTAAACAGGTGTGCGCCCGGTAGTAGATAAACCAAATTTCATATGTTGCACCTTAAACAGGTGTGCGCCCGGTAGTAGATAAACCAAATTTCATATGTTGCACCTTAAACAGGTGTGCGCCCGGTAGTAGATAAACCAAATTTCACATGTTGCACCTTAAACAGGTGTGCGCCCGGTATGTCGATAAACCAAATTTCATATGTTGCACCTTAAACAGTTGTGCGCCCGGTAGTAGATAAACCAAATTTCATATGTTGCACTTTAAACAGGTGTGCGCCTGGTAGTAGATAAACCAAATTTCACATGTTGCACCTTAAACAGGTGTGCGCCCGGTAGTAGATAAACCAAATTTCATATGTTGCACCTTAAACAGTTGTGCGCCCGGTAGTAGATAAACCAAATTTCATATGTTGCACTTTAAACAGGTGTGCGCCTGGTAGTAGATAAACCAAATTTCACATGTTGCACCATGTAGACAGGTTGTTGTTGACAAGTAACTAAAGGTATAACCCTTGATCCAAGGTTTTATTCAAATTCAAATTTGGAAGGGTAACTACATTTTTATGCGGGAAATTCCTCTATGAAACAGGTAAGAATGTTTACTTCATTGTAATGACATTATTTCATAATATTTCAAAACAATCGTTCTGAATTTACGAATTTCTTCCGTAGAAGCATTTGGAAATGATGAATATATTTGGGTGTCGTTAGTCATCGTTTCAAAAGACTAATAAAAGCTGTCATAGCTATAATGACTTTCATATATGGTAAGCTGTTATAAAATCCACCTATTGGAGTACGATGTTACATCCAATGCATTTGTTGGGAAGATAACGCAGATTACAGTTTTGTAACGTAGTCTTGCTATTTCACTTTGTTCTCATCACAAGATCAGTGGAGCGTGATATCAAGCAGGTGAGACTTTCTGCCTGTTGTTGCATAATATAGACAGTCATTATGGGGTACCTAATACTGTGTCTACGATACAGGCTGGAACCCTGAACATGATGGTAAGTGTTACTTATGACTTTGTCCAAAGTCCACAAGGCTCATAAGAAAGTTAAGAGGTTCTATATTTTTTCCAATAATAATTAGCAGGACTGGGATGAAGATTCGAAACAGGATGGGCTGAGCATACAGCCTTGTTGTACTCCACTAATGATGTCAAAAGAGTCGGGGGATGAGCCATCTAACTTTATGCCAGTTTGAAATGACCTGCAAACAGTGCAAACAACATCGAGTGCTTTTGTAAGGCTGATAGATGCTTGTCCTTTCCAACATCTGGTAGATTAAGCAGGGCGTGTAGGTCATGGACCGTTAGGCCATAAGTCAAACTGCGCGTCGGGATACACCATAACAGCAAGTGTCTGTAGTCCTTTTCGGACCAAACAGTCGAAGACCTTTCCGACGATGTTCAGGACGGGGATCCCGTGGTAGTTGTTGAAGTAGCTTCTATCAACGTTGTTCATAAACTGACGATGGAATGCCCTCACAGAGCCGCGGCCAGTGGTCACCCTATCCGGTAAGTCGCTTCTTACAGCTTGGGTTGCTTAGGCCACTTCTATCCCCGATCAACACGGGAGATTTCAGTGCAGTAGCATGGGATTTGGTCTTTTTCAGTAATAAAAACTACAAGGCTACAGGGTGTGATGTGATGGCACATTTATTATTCTGGGACGAATACACCAGGATATAATTTCCTCCCTATACATAAAACGCTGAAACAATCGGTCAACAATAGACATGACATATCATATCACACACCCAGGGTGCAGCCCCTACTTTAGGTACATGTTGTAATGTTTATAACATACATCAAGGCTCAGTATATGTTGATGTTCCATGAAATATGTGTGGACCTGTCTTCTAAGTATTTGTTGGTAAAAAACAAACATGGTACCACAATATCCCCTATCTATAAGTCAGCACAGAACACACATGGCTAATGCATGGCTCATTGCCTGTCAACTAAGATATGATACCTATATACATCTGTATAAATTTTTCCTAACATCCGTTTTCATAGCCTTAGCAATACGCGTATACTCTTTATCATACCACATGGTCACGTGGGTGCGAATAGTATGTTTATATACGATATTAGCAGCTTAGTAACATATAAGATACAAGTACATTATTCAAACTTAGTTTCGTATTTACATCACAAGTCAAGAGTCCCTATAAATAAGGAGTGACATACTTCACTATGCCACGAAAAAAATCTCAGATGCACTTCTCTCTGGTTTAAGGTGATGGGCGAAGTATCAGCTCTGCAAGGTTAATTGTCATTGTGACGTAGTAACCGGGACTACGCCCAAACGAGCCAAGACCGTTCGCAAAGCAAGCTACGTCAGTAGGAACTAGGGGAACAAGTTTGGTATTTCCTGAACATTCGCACAACAAAAACAATTGAAGGTCATTATCGGTAGAATGTCTCCCAGTTCAGATTGCCATCTGCGTTGCGTCATATCAAGACGGAATTACTCATCAACTTTCGAGCGAATGTTCGAATCTCCGTAAATGACACCATTATTTTCCCCATTTATAGCGTTGCTATCTTATATATGCATATGTCTAATATCAAACGTTTACGTACACGAAATGTAGCGACGGTACCGGGTATCTCTAACTGGTATAAAAACAGAGACAATATATGCACTCTGATACATCGTATCATATCGATGGGGAATACAAAGACTAAGAGCGGTACGATCATGAGCAGGTGCTGGCGGTGTATCGCAAGGGTCCAAACCACAGGGGTTCGAATCACTCTTTGGACAATCATTTTAAAAAATAATAATCTAGACTTTTGCAACCGTATATTGTTTTTATATGCTATGAGTAACTTAAATTTCAAATTTGAACGAAATCGGTGACGAAATGCAGAAGTATTACAATTTTGATAACCTACCTATATATCTAAATACATGTAATTAGATAAGCAAGCAAGTACAAACGCAATGGGCATTACGTTTTGATACTTTGAATACATTAAGGAGCATGTACCTGCAATCGTACCTACGTCATTACAAACCCCTGTTTTCTGATCACAAGCTACACAATCCCCACTGCATGTATGATGACAGTGACTCCCGTATTCCCCGTCCCTACACCCACGACTACAGCTACCGTTTACCTCACATACACCATCAAGACACGAGCCACAAGCATCGTCACATCTCTCTCCGAACCATCCATTAGTACAGGTTGAACACCGTCCATGGCGGTCACACACATGGTCTCTACAATGCAGACACTTCTTGTGGCAGTGTTTCCCATTGTTCCCTGGGACACAGCCCTCCACTCACGATCCATCACGGCTGTAACACAGGGAAGACTTGCAGGAGGCACTACACGGGGTGTGACAGTGTGACCCGTGCCACCCAGTCTCACATCCTTCCAGACAAACTGAAGTATGTCGATCACAGCTCTTGTGTCCATCTCTTCCTTTGTAGCACTTCTCGGGGCACGTCTTACTGCATCGGTGTCCATGGTAACCAGGTTGACACTGTTCACATACCCCAGTCTGTCTGTCACAGCCACTGGTCCAGCAATGTTGACATCTATCTTCGCACTTCTGTCCATAGAAGCCTGCTTCACATCCATGTAGACAGTAGCCGGTGATGCTGCACCTTCCCATCAGACAGTTGTCACATGTCATGTTACAGAAGCCCCCTGCCCATCTTCCATCACACCCATCAAGACATTCTCCTGTGTGTATGTGACAGACTGATGCCTTGCAGTTGGGTGGACATCGTCCATCACAGTGTGCCCCGGTCCATCCTCCACCACAAGATTCAGAACAAGAACCTGTATGTTGGTCACAGTAGACAGCGCCACCTACCGGAAAGCTGGAACATCGTGGTGGACAGGGTGTGTCGCAGTGTCGTCCATAGAACCCTGGCCTACATCTGAAACATTCTCCAGTGGACCTGTCACATCCGTCATCGTCACAACGTCCTTGGCATGTAGAGCTGCAGTTTGATCCGTGACACCCGGTGTTACATGACTGACATCTGAGACGACCATTTCCATGTCTGCACCCACTTGTCTTACATGAGTCGTGACTAAGGATCTCTGAATAAAATATGTTTTTACATTAAAAATGTAATAAATTAGAAGTGTCAGATAAAAATGTCAGGTATTATTTTTAAGAAACGACATGAATATCACAAATGTAACTTCCACAAATTTGAGTTTCGTTTCTTTTTTAGTCCAATAACCATGGCGAATATTATTTCATTGTATCATTATGTAGGTGTATTTACCAAGAGAGTATGTCAGCGACAGCAGGGCATGGATGAGCACCACAAGCGACAGGAACTGTCCGCCGTTCATTTCTCCAGAGTGTAGATGACTGATGACAACAGATGCAAGGAATAGAACATAACTGAATAAGCTAAAAGTTACTCTGTTTCTTAAGAAGCAATTGTAATGCAGTAGCACGCGTGGTCTTTCAATAGAAGCTGTATCAATATCACGAGTAGCCTTGCTGACAATTCATTGATAATATATGCCGGATCTTCATTGTGATACAGATATGAACAGAGATACTTTTACACGATACACATTTTCCTGTGTAGATCCAAAGCAAATGCATTGACACCAAATTCAAACATCGACGACATATTACTACTTTTTGTGTACAGTTTATAGAGTCATAGCCAACACTGTTAAGGTAGAGAGGCGGTGGGCTAGCCTAGTGGTTAAAGCGTCCGCACTTCACGCTGAAGACCAGGTTTCGATTCCCCACATGGCTAAAACGTGTAAAGCCCATTTCTGGTGTCTCCCGCCGTGATATTGCTGGAATATTGCTAAAAGCGGCGTAAAACCAAACTCACTCACTGTTAAGGTAGACATTATCAGTATATTATCACTGGCCTGCCTGTGTCGTGGAGGCGTTACAACATGCCACCGGTACAATGGCGGAGGGTAGTTTTAAGACATTATATGTGCGATTGCAATTGCATCCCATTATCATGTAGTGGGTTTGAACTTACTGCCATCCTTCGTGGGGAACTTCTCAAGAACTATGGGTGCCTGTGCGCGTGCGTACCTGATTGTCTGTCTACATGTGTGTCTAAGTGTGTCTCTGTGTTGGCGGGGTAGGGTGAGTGAGTGAGTTTAGTTTTACGCCGCTTTTAGCAATATTCCAGCAATATCACGATGGGGACACCAGAAATGGGCTTCACACATTGCACCCATGTGGGGAATCGAACTCGGGACTTCGGCGTGACGAGCCAACGCTTTGACCACTAGGCTACCCCACCGCCCGTTTGCGGGGTAGGGGTAGGGGTAGGGGTAGGGGTAGGGGTCGGGGTAGGATTCCACCCATAAGCCTCCCTATAAATACACAGCTCTGTAAAGTAAACATTATTGATTGAATGTAACAAAATGTGTAAACTGTCATAAAGAGAATAAATTAATAATGTGATTAAATGAATCTTACTGTAATGATAGTATATTTATTTGTTTCACTTACTGGATGGGTAACAAAACGTAAATATATCGCACCAGTCAAGAATAGTCCTCCCACCATTAGCGCTCACGAATGAAGCTAGTGAATGCAAGTGAGAAGCATATAAAAGACTTGTGAGATAGTGGGTGTGAAAAGATAAGACCAAAGGGCAGATTTGTTGAAATGTTACACTGTCCCGGTTCACAATTTTATATGGGAACCACCTAATGTTGAGCTGATGTCCCGGTGAAGGTGTAGAATGAAGCTGACAATCAGCTTCAGATGATACAACAAAAACGGTTTCTTAATTATATTCGTACAAAATAATAAACTCTAGAGAGGGCGTAGAGGGCAACATAATGATTTGTTTGTTTGTTTTGTTTGTTTGTTGTTTAACACCGCACTCAACAATATTCCCGTTATATGGCGGCGGCCTGTAATTAATCGAGTCTGGACCAGACAATCCAGTGATCAACACCATGAGCATCGATTCACTCTACACAAACATGTCAACCAAGTCAGCGAGCATGACCACGAGATTCAGTTAGGCACCTCTTACGACAAGCATGGTTTGACGATCAATTCTAACCCGGATCTTCACGGGTGAGTCATAAATCACAACCACCATATACAACACATACACACCATATACAAAACATCTGCAACATATATACATATATCACAGCCACCATATACAACACATTTACATATATACACACATACACACCATATACAAAACATCTGCAACATATATACATATATCACAGCCACCATATACACATTTGCAACATATATACACCACATACACAACATATGCAACACATATGCAACATATATACACAGCAGCCACCATATACATACACAACATATACACACATCATATATACATCTACAACACATCTACATATATCATCAGCCACCATATACAACACATCTGCAACATATATACATACATCACATACACACCATATACAACACATCTGCAACATATATACATATATCACAGCCACCATATACAACACATTTGCAACATATATACATCACATACACACCATATACAAACACATCTGCAACATATATACATCACATACACCACCATATACAACACATCTGCAACATATATACATCACATACACACCATATACAACACATCTGCAACATATATACATCACATACACACCATATACAACACATTTGCAACATATATACATCACATACACACCATATACAACACATTTGCAACATATATACATATCACACACACACCATATACAACACATTTGCAACATATATACATCACATACACACCATATACAAAACATCTGCAACATATATACATATATCACAACACCACCATATACAACACATTTGGATCTGCAACATATATACATACATCATACACACCATATACAACACATTTGCAACATATATACATATATCACAGCCACCATATACAACACATTTACAACATATATATATATATCACATACACAGCCACCATATACAACACATCTGCAACATATATACATATATCACAGCCACCATATACAAACATATTTGCAACATATATACATACATACACAGCCACCATATACAACACATTTGCAACATATATACATATATCACAGCCACCATATACAACACATTTGCAACATATATACATACACATATCACAGCCACCATATACAACACATCTGCAACATATATACACATATCACAGCCACCATATACAACACATTTGCAACATATATACATATATCACAGCCACCATATACAACACATCTGCAACATATATACATATATCACAGCCACCAAATATATACAACACATCTGCAACATATATACATCACAGCACACCATATACAACACATTTGCATACACATATACATACCATATCACATCCAACATATACATACACACCATATTACAACACATATGCAACATATACATATATCACAGCCACCATATACAACACATTTGCAACATATATACATATATCACAGCCACCATATACAACACATTTGCAACATATATATACATCACATACACACCATATACAAACACATCTGCAACATATATACATATATCACAGCCACCATATACAAACACATTTGAACATATATACATATATCACAGCCACCATATACAACAACACATCTGCAACATATATACATATATCACAGCCACCATATACAACACATTTGGAACATATATACATACATCACAGCCACCATATACAACACATTTGCAACATATATACATATATCACAGCCACCATATACAACACATTTGCAACATATACACATACACACCATATACACACCCCTTCAATAATATACACATGAGAGCAACATATATACATACATCACAGCCATATACAACACACATTTGCAACATATATACACATACATCACACACCATATACAACACATTTGCAACATATATACATATATCACAGCCACCATATACAACACATTTTGAACATATATACATTGCAACACACACACACATATATACAACACATCTGCAACATATATACATATATCACAGCCACCATATACAACACATTTGCGAACATATATACATATATCACAGCCACCATATATACAACACATTTGCAACATATATACATATATCACAGCCACCATATACAAAACATTTCCAACATATATACATATATCACAGCCACCATATACAAAACATTCTGACCATATATACATATATCACAGCCACCATATACAACACATTTGCAACCATATATACAAATATCACAGCCACAATATACAACACATCTCGACAACATATATACATATATCACAGCCACCATATACAACACATTTCTTTGACCATATACAAGAGCGACACACAGTGAGATTATATACTTATATTTCAATATATACACAGCACATCAAGCGGGGCACACCATAACAACGGCATACCATACAAAAGACATTTGAACATATATATGCATATCAATGTCACAACACACTCAACATATATACCAACACAAACACACAACTCGACACCCCACACACCCGCACACACACACCCATTTGCAACACATGTACAACATATCATACATTACATACAGACCACATACAACAATTGTACAACATATACACATGACATACACATCATATACAACACATGCAAAACATACATAAAACACATACACACCATATATAACACATGTGCAACATATATACATCACATACACACCATATACAACATATTTGCAACATATATACATCACATACACACCATATACAACATATTTGCAACATATATACATCACATACACAACATATACAACATATTTGCAACATATATACATCACATACACACCATACACAAGACATCTGCAACATATATACATATATCACAGCAACCAAATACAACACATTTGGACCATATAAACATATATCACAGCCACCATATACAACACATTTGGACCAAATATACATATATCACAGCCACCATATACAATATTTCGACCATATATACATATATCACAGCCACCATATACAACACATTTGGACCATATATACATATATCACAGCCACCATATACAACATATTTGCACCATATATACATATATCACAGCCACCATATATACATATATCACAGCCACCATATACAAACATTTCGACGATATATACATATATCACAGCCACCATATACAACACATTTCTGGACCATATATACATATATCACAGCCACCATATACAACACATTTGGACCATATATTCATATATCACAGCCACCATATACAACACATTTGGACCATATATACATATATCACAGCCACCATATACAACACATTTGCAACATATATACATATATCACAGCCACCATATACAACACATTTGCAACATATATAAATATATCACAGCCACCAT